TCGATGAGGTATGCTTACTGATATTTTTATATAATTATTAACCATAATCGCAGCCCAGGTAATTACTTAAAGCCCATACAGTGTTTTGCCGGTATTTTACCGCTGCTTGATGCACCTGCGAGGGGTCCAGCTAGTCGGCTTTTCCTCCGATATTCCCTGTGTGCTTTCTGGTAGATATTCAAGTTTTTAAAATTCTGATTTTTAATTTCCTCAGAAATTAGTTTCTAACTGAGAGTAGATCTGTCTATTAAAGATTCTACAGGTAACTGGTCTACTGGTAATTGCTGACTTCGGTGACTTGCCTTCCAAAAGCGACTGCGATGGACTTGAGATTACATTGTAGACCCCCAATTGTCTAACACAACAACTGCTCCGTGTTTTGATCAATACAGATTAAAAGAGACGGTTTGTGGATATAACCATAGTTACGCCTGAAAGTGCATGCAGTTTATATGAAGTAGCTGCGATCGATGGAGCAGGAAGTTACTTGGCCTGACATCAGTGACTGTCGCTAAGGATGGGCTCGCTTGAGAACCCGAAACCTCAGACCAATTAAATAATTGTTTCACCAATCGCCACTTCTTCGTTGTAGCTCTCGCCTATTAGCTTCTTTCGGCAAAGGGTGCAATGCCTGTTAACTGTCGCTTCCCAAGAGAGTTATAAAAACATCCGACGTGATATTTTGGACAAAACGTGACGATGCGGATGACTTCCCATATTCTTATTTTGAATACAGTGAAATGGTTAAGAAATCTGGCACTGAATACTGTCAACCCCGACATTGCGACATTTTAGCCCTCTCTTCTAAGTTAATCACCAGGTGGTCAACAGAACTCACATATGATCGCCTGATAGAGAATTCGTACACTGGAAGATGCTGGCCCTTGATTGTGAATGTTTTTGGCCTTGCTAAACCACAAACAGTTACACCAACTGCAGGAGGGTTATTCGTCGATAAAAAAGTTGGAGTTCAATAAATCCTTACAGAAGTAACGACATTCATTCCGTTAAATTCCTCCCAAGCAAAGGTGTACTCAGTATCTAGGATATGCATGGGTACTTGGTACAGGTTCTCTCGCCTCCTTTGCTATCAATTGATGTTAACGAAAGCCTATTTAGGCAGAATTTAAGGTTTGAGATAATCGACCGTGATTTTATAAACTCTGTCCTCCCTATCGAATAGTCAATCTTATACATAGAATTTACATACCGGGTGTGTGGTGTAATCATCGGTTTGTGCAAAAGTCATATTTGGTGCTTGGTCCGGCATCACCTGTTCATCTCTTCAGGGCACTGTCGCTACTTGTTTGCAGTGACCCAGGGACATCAAATTCAGGAACCCGCTTATTTTGCAGATGTCTCTCGGTTAGGGCCGTTCCGTTGTTCAATCTCGTTGTACTAGCGGCTAGCCAACAGGTAGATACACAGCCTGGCCTGTCTCCAGAGAGTTCCTTTCTTCCAACACTGCTTTGCGAACTCATACGCCCCTACCTGCATACTTTATTTGTACCCTTTCACCCCCCAGGTCGGAACCTCACGCCTGCAAGGAGCCTGTTGTACGAGTTCTTCCACTCACCATTAATCTTACCTCTATGCCAAACGGCCAG